GGAGTGCAGTCAGGGGGCGACACGGACCAACTGAGGTGACACTGTCAGGTGGGGGGGAGGCTACAGTCAGGGGTCAACGCAGACCAACTGAGGTGACGCTGCTGGGGGCGGGGGGCCTGTGGTGAGGCCCGCACGGCTCATTTGTGCCATCAGTGACATCAGTGACGTGTGTGGCCGGAGGCTCTGCCGCCCAAGAGCTCGTCCCTAAGCCAACAGCCAGCAGCCACCTCACAGCTCCAAAGAGCAGCTCTCCTGAACGTGAGGGAGCACTACTGCCAGGCCGTCACCTCTGTCCCCACTCTGTCCAGGGGATGCCGCAGGGGGTCCGCGGCTGGAATCGGACTCCCACACTGAACCTTTGGAAGCAGCTGAGAGGACCGCCAGCCCTCAGCATAGCCTACAGACCCACGCAGGCGGCCCTGGCCTCCCACCTGGGGGCAGCAGAGCTTCAGCAGGTTGACCGTCTTCCCGCAGACGTACACGTCGTGGACAGTGTGCCTCAGGAACACAGGGACGCAGTCCTCCGCCTCTCTGGAGATGAGCACATAGCCATGAGTCCAGTAGAACTTATCTGCACGAGAAACAGACCCAGGGTGACCGGGACGGGCAATGGCCCCACTCAGGCCTTGTTTGGAGAGCCCGCATTGACCACCTACTTCTGACGCCAAGGTACTCCGGGTTCACTTGGATCATGAACTCGCCGTAAACATCTCTGAAGACCCCACTGTATACCCAGTCATGGATAAACCTAAGCAGGGGTCGGGGGTCGGCAGTTAGACAGAGTAGCCAAAGGGCAACAAAGGCATGACCTAGGCTGAGGTGGGCACAGCCAGACGTGGTGGGGGCGAGGTGGGGTGGGTTTGGCCAGGCAAGTGTGGGCATGGAGGCCCCAAGGAGTGGTCGCCTTCCGCCCAGGCCGAGGCCCCATCGTGCCCTCCCTCTCCCAGGGGACCCACTGCGTGTAGGGCTCGCAGCTCGTCTTCATCAGGGACAGCAGCACCGGGTAGTGCTCGTTGCTGCAGTTATCCAGCGCCTCCTGGTACAGATAGGACAGCAGCTTCACGCCCTGCAGACAAGGGCGGCTGCTCAGGGCCCTGCAGCAGGCACAGCGCATAGCATGGGCCGCCCTCCCCAGGGCAGCCTCCTCACCGTGGGGAAGGCGGGCCTGGGCCCTGCCCCGCCAGCTCCTGGAAGCGCAGCGCCGACACCACAGAGCTCAGCCAGGTACCTAGACCCAAAGCACACGTCAGGGCGGGTGAGCAGCGCCTCCGAGATGCTCCGTGTTGCCCTGTTAAAGACCTTTACCACCCTGAGCCCAGCACTGCCTGTCCCAGGTCACCAGTTACCCACGTGCCACCTCCTTCCCATGCCCCAACATGACCCTAAGACCCGTTACCTGACACGCCTCTACCTGAGACCCAGCCGGCCCACAACTCACAGGCCCCTCTTCCCCACCTAGATCAGCCAAAACCCACCACTCCGACACCCTCCAGACCTCCAGGCTTCCACCCTGCCAGTCTCCAGCCCTCAGGTCCCCCTTGGGGCATCCACGCTTGCTGCCCCTTTGCCTGGAAATCTCTCGTGCAGCTCCCACCACACCCACCTCACTCTCCCTTCTCTGTGGTTCTTGCCAGATGCTGCCTGGTTGTTCACCAGAGCCCACAGCCACAAGGACCTTGTATGTTATTCAGGCCAGAACTGGGAACCCTTCGGGCTAGGCAGGTCAGGCCATGGTGGGCCAACATACAGTCAGTACCCAGTGACCTCAACCAGGCCAGGGATGTTCTCACGGGCCAGGGCGCAGCCGTAGGAAGCAGCCTGCCAGGCGCCTGCGGGGCTCACCTGAGCTGCCGGCCCAGCTTCTTGAAGAGAAAGCCAATGGTGAGCAGGCTCAGGGTGGGCAGGGTGGAGAGAACACAGGCCCGGTAGTACTGCAGATACCTCCTCAGGCCACTGGTGAAGGCCTGGAGGGAGGGGTGGGGGGACAGGCACATGGACAGGGCCCTGGTGCCAGGGGACGGCTTGGCTCCCACACCCATGTCCACAGCCAACACTGTTAACCTTACCCCACCACCTGCCCCCCACGGTGCCCCCTCAGCTCTCCCCAGACACCCTGCACACCCGCACACCCCTCCTCTCCCACTCACTGAACAGCTACACTGTAGGAGTCTACCCAGCAAGTAAGCTCTCCCCCAAACTAACTCCCAGAGCCAGATATGGCTCAGAACCCTCATGACTAGGATTCTGATCGCTGAGGTTCTCCCCAGAACATATACACGATTCTCACAGAGGTCTGACTCACAAGGCCATGGGCCATACCTGGAACACAAGGCCCTTGCTGTGCGGTGAGCCCAGGACAGGCTGTAGGGAGAAGCGACTCAGGCGCATGTAGCAGGTCCCATACTCAGCCACTTCTGAGAGGAGGCTGCTGATGCTCTCGGGAGAGGCTCCTGACACATGGATGCCCTGCTTTACCACAAAGGCCTGAGCTGGCTGGGGAGGGCCAGAGGAAGGGGGTCAGAGGCCAGGCACCCGGACCACCAGGTGCTGCCATCTCTTTCCACCCACTGGCGTCCCCGCCAGGATCCCAAACCCAGACCCATACAAGAGACGTTCAAAAAGCAAATTCCTGAAAACATACCCGAAACTGTTCCATCCCGGAAATAGAAACACACAAACTGAAACAAGGTATAATCTTCCACTGACTGCACTGAAAAATGCATGTTTAAAGTGTCAACTGTGGGACCAGCAGTTGGCGTAATGGCTATGTCGCTGAACTCCCACAGTTGACTGTGGTTCAAGTCCCAGACCCAATGGCTTAAACTCACGCTGGGTGCGTGTGCATGCGTGCCCAAGATCCCGAAAGGAGAATGGAGAAGGGACTGAAGGCCATCCTCCCTGGAGGGTGTTTCTAGCTTTCTATCTCTCTGTTTCTCTCTGTCTTTCTGGCGAGCGCACGTGCCCAATAGCAAAAAATAATAATTTTTTTTAAATAATAAAATAAATAAAGTGACAACTGTGAAAAAGGGTACAGAAAAACAAAACACCTTCCGTGCAACACGAGAACACATGCATCATTTTCTTGGGGCAGCTTTAAAAACTGTGTTTGCACTGGATCTGGTAATCCAACTCCCAGGAACAAGTGAACAAAGGAGATGACAGAGAGGCTGGTCACAGCTTGCCCCACAATACTGTGCACAACCCAGGAGAGCCCATCATGGCAAGCCTAAAAGCACAGTGAGACCCGGACCAGCAGATGGTGTAATGGCTATGTCACTGGACTCTCAGTTGACCACAGTTCGAGTCCCAGACCCGGTGGCTTAAACTCATGTCGGGTGCATATGCGTGTGTGCCCAAGATCCCAAGAGGAGAATGGAAGAGAAGGAATTGTGGTGTGGCTATCTCCCCTGGTGGGGTGATTTCTCGCTTTCTGTCTCTCTGTTTTTCTGGCGAGCGCACGCACCCTATACAGAAAAAAAAAAAAGGCAAGCACAGTGAGACCAAACGTAGGAGGCTATAAAACCCTTGACAATCACCACACTCGACAGTGAAAAACTAAGAATGTAGTGGCTTGAAAAACACACTAGGTGCATGTGCATGCATACCCAAAATCCCAAGAGGAGAATGGAGGAAAAGAGATTGCATAGACATTCCCGGCCCCAGGTGGTGCTTCCTCACTCTCTCTTTCCTCCCACAGCCTACAAGCACATGTACCCTAGAGCAAATTTTTAAAATAATAAAAGCTTTTCTTTTTAGATTAAAATACATGGGAGCTGGACCCTGGTATATGGGTCATGACTGACTTTGCAGCTCGAATCTCAGCCCTAGCAGCTTAAAAATATGCCAGGAGCATGGACATGCCTACCCAAAATCTCAATGGGACAAAGAAATAAAGTATCATGTCCCACTGGGGTTGCTTTCTCCTTCTCATGCTCTCCGGCAAGCAAAGTACACTCTGGCAAATAAAAAGACAAGACAAGGATGCCTGCTTTTGCCACTTCTATTCAATACAGTTACAGAGATCTTAGCCAAAGCAATTAGAGAAGACCAATAACTAAAAGGTATCCAAATTGGAAAAGAAAAACTACAATGATCTATTGGGTCACTGGGAAAGTCATGATGCATTTTGGCATAGAAAAATAAGTCATGACTTTCCCAATGACCTAATGTTTTCAGATGACATAATGTTATATATAGAATCCACCAAAAAAATCCACAAAATAACTTCAGAGTTAATAAACAAATTCAGGAACCAGCAGATGGCATAATGGTTACGTCACTGGACTCCCCATATGGCTGACTGTGGTTCAAATCTCAGACCCGGCGGCTTCAAATTCACACCAGGCACTTGTGTGTGTGTGTGTGTGTGTGTGTGTGTGTGTGTGCCCAAAATCTCGAGAGGAGAATGGAAGAGAAGGGATTGTGGTGTGGCCATCCCCCATGAGGGGTGATAGCTCATTTTCTGTCTCTTGGTGTCTCTTTTTTTCTCTCTCTCTGGCAAGCACATGAACCCTATAGAAAAATGTCTCGGGGTCAGCACATGGCACGGTGGTTAAGTGCGCTGAACTCCTACATGGCCAACTACAGTTTGAGTCCTGGACCTGGTGGCTTGCTTTCTCACTTTCTCTCTCTCACTCAATCCCTCTCTGGTCAAATTAAAATAAATTAAAAAATGGATAAAGTTAAATTAAAGAAATTTTTCATCTCAAAAAATAAACAACTTTAACAAAACTGCAGGTTACAAAATTAATACAAAGTGTATATAAATAAATACAACCATATATATATAGCTATGTATATTCTAGCAATCAAAAATCTGAAAATTAAGAAAATTTCACTTACGATATGAACAACTAATAAGATATTTAACAATCAATTTAACCAAGCAGGTTAAAAAAACCCTGTACACTGGGAACTATATAACATTACTGGGGGACCAGCCGTCAGCATAACAGCTATGTTGCTGGACTCCCACGTAGTCGACGGCGGTTCGAGTCCCGGACCTGGCGGCTTAAACTCATGCCGAGCGTGTGTATGTGCATGCCCAAGATCCTGGGAGAAGGGACTGTGGCGAGGCCATCCCCCTGGGGGGTGATTTCTTGCTTCCTGTCTCTCTGTCTCTCTCTGTCTGTCTGGCGAGCGCAAGTGTCCTATAGTAAAAACCTCTCAAAAAAAAAAAAAAATTACTGGGACTGGCAGTTGACATAATGGCTATGTGGCTGGACTCTCATGTAGTCGACCGCAGTTCAAATCTCAGACCTGGTGGCTTAAACTCACGCCAGGTGTGTGTGTGCGTGCATGCCCAAGATCCTGAGGAGAATGCAGGAGAAGGGATTGTGGCGTGGCCATACCCCTGGGGGGTGATTTCTCATTTGCTTTCTGTCTCATTGTCTCTCTCCTTCTGGCGAGCGTAGGTGCCCTATAGGAAAAAAAAAAAAAAATAGGGCTGACTTCCACATGGCCGACAATGGTTCATGTCCCATACCTGTGGCTTGGAAAATCATGCTGCAATCCCTTCTCCATTCTCTTCTTGAGATTCTGGGCATGCATGCATGCACATGCACCTAGTGTGATTTTCAAGCCACCAAGTCTAGGACTTGAAATGCAGTTGGCCATGTGGGAACCCAGCACCTTAACCAACATGACACCAGCTGGTCCCTGGAATTTCAAATTTAATGTGAATTCTTGAGGGACCTCAAATACCCAAATAGACCTTGAAAAAGAACAAAGTTAGAGGAATCACATCTCCCAGTCCAAAACTTACTACAAAAGCTACTGTCATCAAAACAGTGTGGTATTGGGCCAGCCTGTGGCATAGTGGTTAAGGCAGCTGGGTCCCACATGGATGACTGCATGGTTAGAGTCTTAGACCCTGTGGCTTGAGAAACACATCTGGTACATGTGCATGCACGCCCAAACTCCGAAAAGGAGGGAGAAATGGAAGAGAGGGAATTGCAGCATGACCATTCCCCATGAGGGGGATGCTTTGTCACTTTCCCTCTCTCTCAGGCAAGCACACACACCGTCTGGCTTATTATCTTTTTTTTTTAAATGTGATACTGTATAAGAGCGGACATACAGACCAGGGGGATAGATAGGCTCACTGCTTAGAAAGGGCCCACTGCTTTGCAGCAAAGATTCCAAAACTATACAATGGAGAAATGTGATTCTTTTCAAAACATGACACTGGACAAATAGATGTTCACATGCAAAAGAGTGAAGGTGACCCTTCCTAACACTATAGAAAAAGTAGCTCAGAATGGATCGAGCCCCTAAATGTAAGAGCTAAAACTATAAAACTCTCAGAAGAATACACAGAGCAAATCCTCACGATCTTGGGTTTGGCAATGATTTACTGGATGACACCAAAGCACAGGCAGTAATAGCAAAAAATGGATAAATCAGAGATATTTGTAAATCATGTATCTAATAGAGAAGTAACATTCTGGAAGATACAGAGAACTCAACAACAAAAAGACAAAAACTCCTTGCCCACCGCTCCCACGGCCCCCGCTGCAAGTGCCAGCAGCTCGGGGGCGGGAGCGGCAGCAGCATCTATCCGCTCAGCTCCGCAAAGGCTTCAGTGAGCTGGGGCTCCCCAGGCACACTGCTCATGCTCCCTGTCCTTAGCCAAGACGCCCAAGAGGAAGGTCAGCTCCGCCGAGGGGGCGGCCAAGAAAGAGTCCGTGAGGAGATGGCGAGATTGTCAGCTGAACCTGCTCCTGCAGTGCAGGAAGCCAGAGTGGTAACAGGAGGAGGTCTTCAGCCACGAAAGCAGAAGGAAGACAGGCTGCAGTGGCCGACTGAGTCTCTACAGACTGACCTGCAGAAAACAAAGAAACTAAGGATGAGGAGAGTCCACCTCTGACAGGGCTGGCAAGAAAGAAGTCAAGTCCAAGAAATGTCATATCCCATGTCTTCTCAGTGGTCCGTCTCCCTTCTATACAATCCAGAGGAATATTTTTATCATTTACTAAAAAATGTAAGTTTTTCAGTAGCACTAGAGAAATTAAAAAAAAAAAAATTAAGTGTAAATGCTTTTTTTAAAGGTCAAACAACTCACTGGTTGTTTTTCTGTGCAACCAGAAGAGTGGGGTGCTGATGTGCAGGAGGCTTTGACTGTCGTGTGTTGGCTTTCCATTCCATGGGTGGTAGTTTTTATACCCTAAGTACAGAGCACACTACATGGCAGTCTGGAGTCACCGTCATACATTTAATGTGTCTTGAATATTTTAAATTATTTCTATTTTCTCTTTTTAGTAGTATTGTTTCCTAAAGAGAACTACTCCTTGGGTCGTGGTTTTCTAGTCTAGTTTTCCTAGTAATTTTGTTAATGTGCTGTGAAAGATTGGAGATTGGGGTCAGCAGGTGGCATGGTGGTTAAAGTGGGTGCTGGCCTCCCACATGGCTAACTGTGGTTCAGGTCTTGGAACTGGTAGCTTGCTTTCTCACTTTCTCTCTCTCTGGTCAAATTGGAAAATAATGGTAATAAT